TAAAGACCGATTGCTTATTATATAGACAATTATTTATTGCGAATTCTAGAGTTAGAAAACCAGACCTAATTTCTATATCTATACAAATAATGGAATCGCTTATTCACAAGTATTATTACATAAAATATACTAGAAACATCTGATTTCTTTTCTATTTATTTTTTTATTTAACTAAAACGACCCACAGCACAACGCGTGACTTGGTACAGCTAGTCATTAATAGAAATATTGAAAGCTAAAAAAAAGGTGATAAGTATCCCATGGCAAACATAATATGTAAGAATTAAGATTTTTATCGAAAACGGAATGTTTTGGAATTTTAAAACACAACCAACGTTATAGTTCTTTTGGAACTGTACCATATCTTGATGTCCGCGTCGAAATATTTAAATAATTTATCCCATTTCGATCTGGTGATTTTAAGACCGTCATTATGTGTTTTGAAATCTTCCGATTGTCCCGATTATGTTTTTTTTTTTTTTTTTAAGTTGCTGTAGGAATATTAGAATCAAAATTGGAATTTTTCACTTTTCTATGAAATCCCCTTTCATTTGATTTTTCATTCATCAAAATCCCTCTCTTTTGAGATCCAGAAAATATATCTATACTACCGCATTTCGACATAAATAGTGTAGAGGTAGATACACATTTTTCTCGTATAATTATCGATGTGATATAATAATATTATATCTAACTTATAATACGATTAGTTATGTAATGGCGATAACGAAGTGAGGTTAGGGATGCAGTTGAGGTCTGTTCACCGCATTATTTAACAGATCGCTGATTACGTCGTAATTAAATTCCGTCGGTATATCCACCGCTAACGGATTCTCCCAACTCTCTCATGTCGATTTGACAATCGATACTTTAAATATATTACGATAAAACATATGCACCGAGGAAACAAATGATATTCCTACACCAATTTAGAATCATAGAAGTGAAAGGGTATGGTTTCTGTAAAAAAAAAAAAAAAAAATCCACTGACAAGACCTTCCTACCTATTTCAGAAAAGTTTTTATATCTTTACATATGTTCATGAAGAAAAAAAAAATGAAGTAGATTTATTTTCCTGAAAATTGATCAAAGAAAAGATTTGAGTACGATTTATTTGATAAACTAAAGCAATGTAAACCTGCTTAAGGTAGATCAGTGTAAAAATATCAATACTCTCTAATATTGCTGATCAAAAACTTTTTGCCACAGCTTAGTATTGTCAAACAATAATTTCTGTTAAAAGTAGTGGAAATAGTGAAGCTTGCGTGATGCGGACAACAGATTTTCTTACTTTCACTTAGTCATCTTTATTCTCTCATTCACCCCTTTCTGAAACCAGGATATGAACCCGTAATCGTACATTGGAAATTGAATAGCTGTAACTTCGTTAATAGTTGTACAAAATGAACGTTCGGGGGCTCTGAAACGTAAAGACTCGTCGAAAACCGAATTTCGGAAATTTGCAATATTTTCCTTACCAAGTATAGGTAGGAAAGTAATAAGTTAAACATGCGTAAAAAATAGAATAAGCTGTATCATCGCTAATACTGGTTCGATTCCGATGATTTTTTTTTGTTTGGTTAGTAATTTAAGTACCTTTCAAAAGTTGTATTATAAATTTTACCCTATAATATATACTTAGGGAGTTAGGCCCCATAAAATTTTTCTTTTCTCTATAACTTCTTTTCCTGAATTTTTTTGGGGATTTAGTCCATGTACAAGAATTGAAAAGACAATTATTAGAACATTATAGGGCAGTTTTATCAAAATCGTTATTGGCGTTTTCACGCTACAGTCCATAGAAAAACATGTTTTTCATTTATTGAGCGCAAGCACCGAATTTCTATCACAGTCACCAGTAGTCAAAACTCTACATATTAAAAAATCTGTTGCGCGCAACACACAACTTTCACTTACCGATCTACTTTGAATAGAAATTATTTTCTGGCAATGCTGGGCTATTATAAAATTTTTTGAAGTGAATTTTAAACGAAGCTAAAGCTTAAAGCGTACAGATAACAAGTGATTAAGACCATTTTAATTACAAAATGTCTATTTAATATATGGAAGACAGGCAATGAAAATCAATTCACTATATCTGATTTTATAAACCACACAATGACTAACTCCAATTTCAACATTTTTGAGTGATGTCATTTTAGTGATATTTTTAGTTAAAAAAGTTATCTATGCAGACAATGAGTAAGTTGATTCCAGAATTGGTGATTGCAGTGTTGAAATATAGAACTGAGGATAAAAGTATAAATTTAGGTACTACTTGCTTATGAAAGATGTTCTTAGGAAAGATATTTTATTAAATATCTGTAGAAAAAAGGTTTTTTTTAGTCTCAACAATTAAAAAAATATTTTTTAAATTTATCCAAATTTTCACCTCTTCAGGGAAAAAAACTAGAGACTATATCTTTCCTCCTAATTGTCCGATTTTTTAACGATTTTTTTTTGTTTTTTTTAGGAAATTCCATAAACTTTTAAAAAAAACATATACAATATCGACAAAAAAGCGTATACTTTTTGAGTTATTCGGAATTTAATTTTAACATCTCTCATAACTTTTCTTCCAGCTTCCTTTCGTTGAAGTATGTTATACAGATAAATTTAAAGGGTATCGAGAAAATGAAGTTTCATTGAAATCGGTACATTCGTTTAGGCGCTATAGTCTGTAGGAACGCAGGTTTTTCTGCATTTTTTATTTTTTTCGCCTTTATTAATTTATCGAATTCTTTCAAAAGTTATATGTAGCATTTTTTCGTAACTCTGAATAATGCGAAGTTATTAACTTTTTAAAATAAACCATATTAAAGGTACTTTAGAGCAATACATATATGAACATTGGGCATTTAAGCCCTGTAAAGTAACATCAACGGGGATAAGACCTAAATGATATTAAAGACCACTTAATTATACAATGATACACCGAGTTTGATCAAAATCGTTAGAGTCGTTTTTGAGAAAATTTTAAAAATGTGTTTCAGCGTTCATATAAAGTGGCACTTTCGGTTAGCCGATTTCAACGAAAAAGTTGCTGTCACACCCGGTCCTTCTAAAAACCTTAAATACTTAATATCAGTTTCGTACTACTTTTCGATTATGAGCTAGACTATTAACACACACACCCACACACACACACAGACCATTTTGCGACACTTGGTTATTTGAACTCAGGGATCCTCAAAACATGTATTTCCGTTGAAAACTGAGAATTGAAAATTTTCACGATCGCAATACTTACCCTTACTATATATTACATATATACGTTAGTGAAAGTAAGAAAGAAGCAACATAATTGGTTCTGTTGTTCTCGAGAAAATCTTGGCACAGACAGACGACAGACCGATGGCAAAAATTTGTTTTTCGCACTCAGTGGCTCTGAAAAGTATAGATATTTCTAGTTGAGTTATAATTGATTTATTCTGTTACTCCAAATTTCATTTTATTTTGTTATAATCTTGTTTTTCTTCTATGTTTGTATTTCATTAATCCTAAATACTCAATGCCCTCAATTGAGTCAAAATGTATTTTCTCTAAATAAAATATTACATAGTAAAGTTTAGTTATAATTATTTTATTTAATCATTTCTGTATCAAAATAGTTTAAGAATGACTAAACATATACTCTAAACGGAGAAATTCAATTTTGAGGAGTGAGTGAAATTTAGATATTATTGTTTTTTTTCTCTTTTCTAATTTATCATATATGTATAATAATAATGTGGAGAGGAACAATGAAAGGAATGGAATGATTTTAATTAGAATTCATTACAAGAAGTCCCTCATCCATTTTCTTTTTAGAGTTCACTCGATAATGTTTGGAAAGAGCAATCTAGTCTTTGAGTTGCCTTTCTTGTATCGTTCTGTAGATAAATAGAGTTAAACGTTGTAGATTCGTCAATTTCATCAATCAGTTAGATTATTTATAAGATATACTATTCGGCTGGAAAGCTAATATTTTATTAAATAAACTGATCTTTCAACTTTGTTAGCTATGCAGTTGTACCAAAATTGTCTGTTTTATAAATTTTTTTGATAATATTATTTGTAAACAAAAAAATACTGGTTCGATTACGATGACTTTTTTTGTTTTGTTGGTAATTTAATTACCTTTCAAAAGTTTTATTATAAATTTTACGGTATAATATATACTTAGTGAGTTAGGTAACATAATATTTTTCTTTCTAATTTCTTAATAACTTTTTTTCCTGAATTTTCTCGGGAATTTAGTCCATATACGAAAATTGAAAGGATAATTATTAGAACATTATAGGAATGTTTCATCAAATACGTTAGAGCCATTTTCGCATTACAGTCTTTAGAAAAACACGTTTTGCATTTATTGCGCGCAAACTATTGCGCATGGAACACCGAATTTATGTCACAGTCATCTTTAGTCAAAACTCTACAAAATAGAGAAAGAAGTAACAAAATTGGTTCAGTAGTTGCCGAGAAAATCTTGGCACAGACAGACAGACAGACCAGTTCAATGGTTAAAAATGTGTTTTTCGGACTCAGGGGGCTGTGAAACGTATAGATCCGTCGAAAACCGCATATCGGAATTTTACCCGATTGAAATACTTTCCTTACCTAGTATAGGTAGGAAAGTAAAAAAAAAAAATGAATTTGTATTTCCATTAGGATAATAATGTTTGTTACATTGTTGCAAACTTCCTTATAAACTTGTATAAGGTTCTTCCCTAAAAACAAATAAAGATTGAATTGAATTGAATAAATAATATATTTTTTGTGATACATATTTTTTTATTATTACCAACATAAAGAAATGGAAACTTCTTTGAAAAACAAATAAAAATTGGTGACCGCCAATCGACTATAAATATGCCCTTATAAGTATGTCCTTAAATAAAAAAAGATTGTGTATTCCTGGAGTAAATAATGGTTTGTGTAAAAATAAAACAATAAAAAACGAAATAATTTATTATAACAAAAAAACAAACAATGATAATATATAAATTGAAAATAACAAATCACTCTTCGTGGCCCATACTTCCGGAATGAATGATCACTTTTAGCTTGTAGACTGGGAACGGTACCGGATATGGTTTTGCAAAAGGTACCGGTACCGTTTTTTCCACTTTAACTGGAACCAGTTTCTCAACTTGGTACTTAATAATTTTCTCTACTGGTACATGGACCGTCTTTTCGACGGCGTAAGGTATAGGGATCTTGATTGGGAACGGTTCAAGAACTTTGACGGGTACGGGGATCCTCAGGAGTTTTTGGACCTCATGGTGCTGTGGTATGTTGATCGTTTTATGAACGGGGATTACCTTTGTTACTTCATTGATTTCCGGTTCTTGGTGGTGTAGGAAGTTCCCGAAAGAATATTGGGCACCATGATCTGCAGTTCCTTGATATCCATAATCATTACTTCCTGTTATTTCTTCGTGACTTTCTTGCTCTCCATGAGTTATATATTTTTCAACAATTCCTTCTTGATCCTGAAAAGTATTATACCCCTTAGAATCATTATCTATCATTGGATGATCACCAGTTTGCACATATTGATAGCTAACACCTCCAGATATTTCTTTTCCTTCGTTGTTGTTACTTTCTTCATTATTAAATCCATCAATATGTCCGATCGTCTTTTCTTCTTCACCACCGGCAGAATTACCAAAATTATGACTAAGAAAATATCCATGTTGTACACCAAGATGTTGATTACTCAAACTATGGACAGAATGACTTCCTTCCTCTCCTTGAAATGTGACTCCTTCATGTCCATTAGATTCCAAATTTACTGAACCCTGGTCACTATATTGTTGGTGTTCAATTTTTTCAATGTCTTCGTGAATGTTATAATTCGTCTCAGGTTGAAATTCATGTGTGCTTTCTCTACTGCAAATGGTAAATAAATATTTTTTTAATACTATAAAATAAATACATTGAATAAATAGATTAAAACATCTATTACCTTTGATCAAACTCTAAGCTACGTTTTTGTATCAGAGTTGTCCTTCCGTTTGCAACCGAAGTGAGGCAAAGTACTAGAATCAGAACCTAGATATTGATACAGTTATCATTACAATATTATTATTATATATTATAATAACAATATTATAGTTATAGGTTTCTTCTAAAATTACTAACCCTTTCCATACTAGACAGTGGATGATCAAGTTGTGACAGTTCAATAGAAGTGCAGTCAACATTATATATGCATTGATCCCCTCCCTTCGTGTGGTTACGGGCTATAGTTGCACTCTCATCTTAGTAATGCATATCAAATAATGATCGGATCAATAGAACTAGAATATAAAATGACCCATATGGATTTATTTATTGATATTATATTTTAAAAGTATTGCGATCGTTAAAAATTTTGTATTTTTAATCCTCACGAAAATGCCTCTTTGCTTCTATGTTAACAGTCTAGTTCAAAAACGAAAGTCATATGTAACTGAAATTACATAATTAAGCTTGACGTATGACTTGGATGTTACAGCAACTATAGTTAAAAATAGATTAACCGGAAACGGTTCATAATATAATCGATTTTATACATTGTACGAACTTTATGGAAAACGGTTGAAACTATTTTTATCAAGTTTGTTATATAAGTGTAAATTTAGATGGACTTCAATATTATGTAAACATTAACCTCATAGAAATAATCTGAAAGGAATTTCTAAAAATTCATATACTTAAATACATTTAACTTTTTTTTATAAGAAATAATTAAAAGTCTTTCATTACTACTATTAATTCAAAGCTGAAAAGGAAGCAATAGGGAAGAAAAGAAGCAAGGGAGAAAACTCTTGAAATGAAAGAGATAAAAGAAAAAGGGACAGTAGTTTTAGAAATGCAAGAACTTGTAGTTTAGAAAAGGAAACAAAGAAAATAGACAAAAAGCCAGCTGAAATTCAGAACCGTTCTAGGTTTTGACTTTTGATTTGGAAACACCTCAAAAGTCAAAACCTGGAATATGATTTGGATATTGCGAGTATTAGCCAAAAACAACACGATAGAAGACAAAATCTATGAAAAACAGTAAACAAAATGAAAATAATTAGGATAGTACGAAATGATAAAATAAAGATAATTATCAAAAGCAATCATAATGGACCAACAGCATTTTCTAATTGGAAAAGAAGCAGATGGAAAAAATATCACGAATAATTTTTAATTGTGTCGTTTTGTTTTGTATCATTTTAATGTTTTTTCTCGTGTGTTTTTACGGATTATGGTTTTTGTTTTAAATTGATAATTTATGAAGGAAAATCTAACATTTTCTGTTTTATTTTAAAATAAGTGATTATATGAACTTATTAGTTTGTACTACAGGCAACTACATTAATTCCTTCTTAAAGGGTGGATCTTTTGTAAAACTTATTAATGCCAATAATGCTTATTATTATTATTGTATAATCATTATTATTACTGCATCAAACTGAGCATGTCATTATTGGCATAATATATATATGTATATATACATGATGAGTTGTATACATTTTAGGTATATATATATATTTTTTTTTCTTTCTTTGGAACCGACCCGGAAATTGATATTAAATATGTAATCAACATGGAATATCTTATTCCTGACTTATAGGATGTGAAGACTAGGTTACATTTGAAATAATCGATAACCGATCTGTGAATTGGTTAATGATTTTATAAGTCAGGTTTATGTCTGTACATAAAAAGTGTCTCAGAAGTAAAGGAAAATATTTAAATAGATGATACCGTTCCTACAGACCTACAAAAAGCTGATTTAAACAATGTTTTCGCATTTTTTTCCGAAGAAAATTTGGGTTTTTTTAAGTGTTACATTGTTTGTTAAATAGTAAACTTTCGTTTGTTAATTATACAACAACAAAATATTTGTTAAAAGTTTCTCATTGTTAAAACCAATAAAGAGGACTTTTAAATGGCTAAACTACGGTAAGTTTAGATTGGGGACATTTAATGTTTCTCTTAATAATATGCAATAAGGATCAATTTGCATGATAGAGATTCGTGGAAACAATTGGGCATAAAATGATAATTTTTTTAAAAATCATTATTTTTTGTATGAATAAAAAGTTTGTATCTTTGAGATTAATTTAATACAATACTTGCTCAGTCATAGGAAAAAAAAAAGGAAATTAAAGTTTTTTGGGTTTTAACAAATACAAACTCAACTTACTTTTAAAGTAAATTTTGTCTGGTTTACTCTGAAGAAATTCTTAATTTCTTCAATTGTATTTTTTTTTTTTTTAGTTATCCCTTCCTATTCCATAAAAAAAGAACTCGAGTTCCTTAAAAAATTCCAAAACTTAAATTTCTTACTTAATAAAATCAACAACTTCAAGGAAATAACTTACTAAACCCTTCCAGTTCTTCAATTTATTTTATTTATTACAACGTATCAGGCCAACTTTGCCCATTTTCAAGTCGAACTTTTTCTCTAAAATATTACAATATATTAAATATTTATGAAAAATATGTAACAGCATATACAACAACAATATATAAAATTCCCAAAAAATCAACTTAATGAATAAAATTTCTACTTACATCCTTATTTTATCCTAACCTTTTTCAAATTATTATTTATCAAAAGTCCATTCCACGATTAAAAAATACTGCAAATTTAACATTAATCTTAAATAAGAAAAGGCCAAACCACTATTTTTTCCACATTTTGTAAATTACTTTTTGGACACGTCTCACTAGTTAAAAATGTTTTTTATTAAAAATTTCATTCCAATGCTATACATTTTCGTCATATCTTTTTTATATCCTTATGCCCACTGTGAGCTGTGGGAGAATATATTATTATTCTCTTTAGGATTAAGATTACTGAATTATTTCAATGCTGTAAGTTTCATATTATTGCTTATAATTTTGATGAAATTATTATTGAAATTACTTTAATTTAATTAAAATTCTAATTAATTATGTCAACATAGTGCTGCCCGATCCCCTTATGATCCGTTTTGAAATCAACCACATTTTTAAACTTTTTAGTTATATATAGAGATTCCAGATACTTTCTAATTTTATTATGTTTCGGTCTATTTAAAATTTCTATTTTATCATAATCAAACATATGATTATTCATGATATTGAACACAGCCTTGCTAGAGCTGTGACATTGATATTTTTTGGGTTTTTAGTATTTATTTTATGTTGATTTATTCTATTTTGCAAATTTTGAGACGTTTCCATAATATAAAATTTATCTATACATTGCTTACAATTAATTTTATAAATAACTTTTTGTTTATTCTCTTTTTTAATTTTATCCTTCATATTTGTTTAATTTATTATTATTATATACACAAAGTTTTATATTTTTATGGTCATATTTTTGAACGCATGTTTAATTTTATTAATTCTTGAAGGAAGTTAGTCGACTGTTCTATATATCATTGGTGATAAATATTCAGGACGCCGTCTTTCTTAATTTTTTTTATTTTTGGCAACGTTTGAACCCAAACATGTGGGTCATCTTCAGGGCATGGTTTGAGCACTGAGGGTGTTCAAGTACGTGAACAGTACAGTTCAGTACTTGAACACCCTCAGTGCTCAAACCACGCCCTGAAGATGACCCACATGTTTGGGTTCAAACGTTGCCAAAAAAAAAAAAAAAATTAAAAAAGACTGATTCTTGAATATTTATCACCCATGATTTAATTTTATTAGTTATTCCTGGTATATATATATATATATATATATATATATATATATATATATATATATATATATATATATATATATATATATATATATATATATTTATATATATATATATATATCAATTAAAAAAAAAACTTCTCATTTTCATCTTTTTTTTTTTTTTTTTCTTCTTCAATATTATCCTTCTCATTCTCAATAGTTTAAAAACAAATCCGTTGTTGATTTTTTTAATTGCTTAAAAATGCACTTGGAAAATTTGAAGATTTAATTAAAAACTAAATTTTCTACTTTTCTGCAAAAAATCCGAAATTTTTTGTAGATCTTGAGGTCTAATATTATTTATTTTTGTCTTTAATTAGGGAATCTCCAGTATGATATAATTCTAATTTCGTTATTTCAGTTTAAGAAGCTGAGGGTTTTAATGTGTTTTAATAAGTCATACAAAATCTCCCAATTTGAGAATATGAGTCCATTATCCAATAAGTCCATTTATCTTTAATTAATTAAAATTAAATTAATAGTGCAATTAATTTAAATTTATTATTGTTTTAATTAACAGGATATGGAGGAAGGTGTGGTCACCAGGGGTCTTTCAGAAGACATTGCCAAGACAGAAAGAAGTTGCTGGAACCTATAGCAACGACAAACGACTATATGTTATGAAAAATCGTAAATCAATAAATAAATAAATATATATATATATATATATATATATATATATATATATATATATATATATATATATATATATATATATATATATATATATATATATACATATATATATATATATATATAGAGAGAGAGAGAGAGAGAGAGAGAGAGAGAGAGAGAGAGAGAGAGAGAGAGAGAGAGAGAGAGAGAGAGAGAGAGAGAGAGAGAGAGAGAGAGAGAGAGAGAGAGGAGAGAGAGAGAGAGAGAGAGAGAGAGAGAGAGAGAGAGAGAGAGAGAGAGAGAGAGAGAGAGAGAGAGAGAGAGAGAGAGAGAGAGAGAGAGCTACAAGGTTTGTAGAGACAACCGAAAAAAAAAAATGCGTGTCTATATATATATATATAAATAGAAAAATCATGTTTATTCTGGGACTAGGTCCCTTTAGAATAACAGTATTGTTCATATAAACCAAACATAAATCTGGCCAAAAGACTTACTACAATGAATAATAACAAAATACTAGTAATAAATTAAGTATTAATTAAGTTCTTAGGATAAATTAACTAGAACAGTTGGGTAATAGGGGTTCAGTACTACAATATTGGAGCTAAAACAATAGCATAATAATCACTGAATGAAATTAGAAAGGAACGCAAAATCAATTTTATAGGCAAAGCATTGTAGTGATGGAAAATAACAAAAAATTAAAATGATAATAACTGTTAATAGGTAAAGAAAGAATTAAAAAAAAAATAATAAATAAAATTATATAGATGTGTTTCCCTAAGATACTTGAGTGATTATGCGTAAAGATTAGGAGAAGAAAAAATAAAATAAAGTATATACATATAGACATAGCAAGGAGTGTGTTGAAGATAATTAGAAAATAAAATACATTTCAACAAAATACAATCTCATGAATAGAAAAATTAGAAATTAAGAAAAACAAATTTTATCTACTCACAATGCTTAG